AGAGATAGAGATAGAGATAGAGATAGAGATAGAGATAGAGATAGAGATAGAGATAGAGATAGAGACAGAGATAGAGATAGAGATAGAGATAGAGATAGAGATAGAGATAGAGATAGAGATAGAGAGATAGATAGACAGATAGATAGACAGACAGACAGACAGGCAGACAGACAGACAGACACAGACAAATACATAGCCAGACAGATAGACAGACACATAAACAGACAGATAGATAGATAGACAGATAGACAGAGTGACAGATAGATAGAGAAATAGAGAGACAGAAAGACAGAGAGACAGAGTGATACGGAGACAAAGAGACAGAGAGACAGAGAGAGAGACAGATAGATAGATAGATAGATAGATAGATAGATAGATAGACAGATAGACAGACAGATCCATCGATAGATAGACAGACAGACAGATGTACCTTTGCATGTATGTGTGTGCATGCAAACACACGTAGGAGGGAAGGAGGGGAGGGAGGAAGGGAGGGAGGGAGGGAGGGAGAAAGAAAGAAAGAGAGAGAGAGAGAGACAGACACAGAGAAAGGGATTAATTAGCTGTACTGTAAGTAGCAGAATGTGGCTGCTGAATCGCCGTTGGCACCTCGCTGGTCATCTCGGACTCTGCATCCATGTCCTTGGGCACCTTACGCACTGGGATCTGAACTCAAGGGATTATGAAAGTTTGACACACATCACATCGCTGAGCCACCCGCGTGGCTGCTCACTGATGTCGGGCGCGTACTCGCTCCTGGGCTTGCAATCGGCTGTCCCTGACCCTCGACAGGCCACCATTTCCCATTGGTGGGTACTCGTCTTTGCCTCACCAAGCCGTGACTCCTCTAGGTCAGCTGCCTACGACCTCTGTTTCGCAGGGTAACATGTTACTATTGTTCCCCTCCCGTCTCGTCTTCAGCCGGTACAAGCCGGTGTTTTCTCTCTTTCAAGTTTCAGTCCTTCTGTGGGTGACGTCTGCATCTTGCCCTCGCATGTCAAGGCTCAGCACTGGTCTCAGGGCTGAAGGGTCAAAACGGATCAACGACCCGTGGCATGAGATTCATCATCTTTGGAACAAAGCTCGGAACGTCTGCCGTGAGAACTCGCTGCGTACTTGGGCGGGCAATCGTTGGAAAGATATTGGAAGTTAGCCACTTACTTTGCAAATTTGCCATGTGATCGATGGCTGAAGTGTGTTTTGGAATGGTACATCAACGAGTTCATGCTGGAAGACAACCTAGTACTTGGGAAGATGCACTCATTATGCATTGCCGTTGGTGTCAGGTGGGAATTGGGATTGCGCTGCTGTTGATCCGCAATGGGGAAACGACAAACACTGGATTTCATTCGTTTTCAATGCAGTGAGCTGCGCAAGTCGTTGCCGAATCTCTAAGTTGCACTGCCTACGCCTGAAATGGGCAGCCTTCGGGCATCAGGCTGACCTTTTCATCCTTTCGCTGCATTGACCATGCACATACACGCTACGAAATTAGACCCCGATGGAACAGAGCTAATTTGGGATTCTGATTTCTGTGGCTCTTTCCCCGCCTGAGCCATGCTATGCCGCTGGGTGCGTTACTTGCCGGCCAAGAGCTGAAGCTTTTACATGCCAGTGAACAGCTCGTGGTCTCAACACCTGCTTAGCCCCAGGTGAAGACAGGAGGTCAACCCACTAGCGGGAAGCACAACTGGTTGACATCTTCAGCCTCATTATCGACACCACCGACCGTGAACCCTGGGAAACGAGCACACTTGTCTGAGGTTCCAGGCCCGAAGTTGGAACGTTGCGGTCTCCCTTGCGCGTGTTGCTCAAGCCTCAGAGGACTTGGCAACGCAGGTCCCACAGGTCCGTTCACAGTGCTGCTTCCACCGTAGCATAGCGAGCAGCCCCACAGCGAACTGCAGGACTCCAGTCCATACATATCATGTATACTTTGGAAAATCTAGACCTTGCCACAAGAGCCTCCTCTACTTAGACTCTACTTCCATTGACCCCATGGGCTCAAGCTTGGCTCCTCCACGGCCGGCGACCAACGAACCGCCTGCAGCTGGCAACAAATGATCTTTCGTGAAAGCGCAAATGCCTTCAGTCTGCATTCTTGCAACATCTAGGAATAACATCACGCACGCACGTACTACCGAGGGTAACGTACATGCTCTCATGTTGCAGGAACAGATACCACAAAAGAGCAGCTAAGGCGCTGAGCGCTGAGCCTGTTTCTGAGCTGTTGCAGCCTCGCAAGGTGAAAAGACTGTTCGGCATTCGTGGTAAATTCCTTGCTTCTGACGGACTCGGAGTCATGGGCATGGAATAACGATACGCTGACCGTAAAAGAAGCACTCGAACCCTATTCAAGCGGGCACGATGCACGGACACTTGCCTTTTGATGTAGAAGCCGGCGGCGAGCGTCTGCATAGGCCTGTCGGACAGCACTGCCACACGTGGGGATCAAAAGCTCAGCCAGCAGAAGAATCGAGTTCTGTACCCAGAACGCTGTGGACAACTTTGAGAGGGGCGCAACAGCAACTACCGGGAAGCCTGAAGTCCTCAAGCTGCCTGGCAACGACCTTCGACCCTAATCACCCTCTCTGTCGAATCTCTGACCAAGCTGTCACCCTTACAATGCTGCGAGCGAGAACACACGATATTCAAGAATAACTTAAAACAGAATCTGTGCCAACTGCTAAGAACTTCAAGCTGACCTAAACTGAGTCTGCCAGATAAAGTCTGATTCAGGCAACCAAAACCCACTCAGAGTTGGTTCCACCCTGTGTTGGAAAAAACGGAACGGGCCGGAGCCGGGCCATCAGACTCGATGTCTTCTGTTCCCTCAAACCCTCTCGAGGCTTGGCTTGGGGAATCTTAGGGTCGACGGGCCAATGCAGCTCAACCGCCCCATCCTGCCTGGGCAGCAGGCAGCAAGCTGAAGAAGAAGTGCTTCTTGGCACGTGGGAGTGCCTCAACCATGTCCTGCACAGACAACTCTTGGTCCGGACTTCCTGGTCGGGATTCTGGTTGTCATCGAGCTGTCTGGGAAAGCAGGGCTCTGACTTTGCCCTTATTGGAGCAAGAGGCATGGGAAGGTCCTGCCCTTCTAACAGCGGATTCGTTGCCATGTCGTCGAGCAGCAGTCCGAAAAGCCTCCATGGCTTGTTCGGTTTGGTTTGGGACAGTTCCGCACGTTCCGAATCTGCCGCGAAAGGCACCTCATAAGTGCCACGGTCTTCGAATCCTGGGCTAGGCTCGACTACGCAGACATGTTCTCCAGGTTTTGAGGCTTCAGGAAAGCGAAGCTGACTAACTCAGCGGAACCCCCTGCAAACCACAGTTCTGTCTGAACCACACAGCACAAGTGAGCGCAACAGCCTTAATCACTGAACTTTGCTCACAGTATGTCTGTCCGCACCGGGCTCGCGGCGTTCACCAGCTGCCACATAGCGCCCTCGTCCTGAAGCATCTGCAAAAAGCTAGGCAAGCGCTTGTTGCAACCTGTGGAAAGTCTGGAGGACGCGACCAGTTTCTCGGGAAGGCCAGGCAGCCTGAAGATGGAAGCTGACTTCGGAAGGCGTCCCGGCACGGCGCACTGGGAACCGGACGCCAGTCCCAAGATCATGCCGCCGGACACCGGCATGCCACTGACCAGGCACTGCTTGGCCTCAAGCATACATGCTAAGTCTCGGAGTTATGCATGCCCACGGCCATGAAAAGGTCAGACGCATCCCTGAAGTCCAATAAAAATTGAAGGGTAGGATGCCTGATCATGAGCTCAGGCTTACGACATGGGCCGAAGTGTTCTCACTGCTGCTTCTCAAGGTGCGGCCGAGTCCATGCAGTTCCCGTTGCTGGATATCCATGTCTGCTTTGGTTTTAGCCACACGACCCTCCATCTTATGTCCCAAACGGAGAAACGAGGCAGGTGACGACAGTCACCGGGGATTTGCCGCAAGCGTGGGGAGGGACGGAAGGGACTGAGGGAGGCCCGTCAAGAAGCGTCAAAAACCCTAAGACTCTCAAACCTGCCTGTGCGTCGAAGCAATTCACAACTCGATGATATCTTGGCCTCGGCCAGCAACCCAGCTGTCCTCACGAAGACCTTTCTATGCGGCTTCTACCGAGCTCTGAGCACGAGGTCTTGAGCCCGTGGGGAGATCCCCAGCGCGATTAGAAGTTGGCAGAAGGAAGGCCTTGCCAGTGGCTGACGCTGCTCCCGGTGAATGACAATAGCTTGCCCCTGGCCTGCTCAAGACCAGTTCGTTCGCCTCGGCGCCAGAGTCCCTCTTTGCCACCTCGTGCACGAGAGGCACCACTCTTTCACTTGAAACTTGAAACATAGGTTCCGGGGGGGTATCTGACCACCACGCAGAAGGCAATCCACTTCTTCAAAAGTCTCGGGCCTGTCTGCAACGACCCATAATATGCCTTCAGGCCTTTTGAGTGGATCGATGGAAGGAGGGGAGGCTTTGTCTGCTCCCGGCCAGCTACGGCAGCCGTGCTCTCTACCCGCGGGTGGCAGCGAGGCCTCCAAGGTTTCTGGCTGGGTCAGGCCGGCGAAGAGACGGCAAAGCCGCACGATCTCCTCGATCTCTTCTGGTGCCAGCTTTACCTTCGAAGAGATTGACCAGTGAGAAGTAGGCCAGCTGTTTGGCAAAACGGCAGAATACATGAAGACAGGTTTGTGATTATTTGACGTGCTTTAGAGCTGCTGCTCCTGCCACAAGTGGTCCTTCAGCCGGCAGCAACAATCGATATATTCGCTGCGTCTCTGACTGATGCGCCTTCGCATTGAAAGTCACCGGCTTCGCAGGATGGTTGACCTCGTTGACCTTCGTGTTACACGATGGCTTGCTGAATACACATCGGCTCATTCCAGCACCTGCTGGGGTCAAGCATGCCTACTGCGACAGATGGGCGTGTGAGGCATGCGACGCATGCTGCGACGCACATTTTTGTGACCCTCTGATGGTGACTTGGCGCAGAGGCCCGGGCCAGGCCCTCTTGGCCAACCTCAGAGACGAGGCCACGGCGGCTACAGCGGCTACGGCTTCCATGACAGACTAGAACTTCTCCGGGCCATGCGCCAAGGCTTCGGGGAGGAGCTGCCGTGGAGCCGGGACGGGCAAGAAGATCGAGGACCACCAGCGATCAGCCTTGGGGGGTTGCCCAAGCACGAAAGTGTTTCGCGACACCGTCTTGTGGACGTCCGGACAGACCCACAGCGAACCTATCTTGACAATCACCTGCTATACCTCATGGAAGCCTTATGGCCCAGAAATTGTGAGGTGGCACTGTTTGCTGCCTTGCCAGATGTAGGGTTCCCGCTGCACGAGCATACACTGTGGGTATCTGTGGGTTGATTTGCAGGGCAAAGACAAAATGCTGTTTCTGCATCCAGGGCTCAGGAGCATGCCGCGGTTTGACAAAGGACTGTCAAACAGGTCTTGCACTCTGAAATCTCCATGACCAAAGGCACACTCTTTTTTTCTGGGCCCTCCGACCACGGCGGCTGCCTGCCTCTGCATTGAAGCCTCTTTGTTCGTTTCCTCCACCTGCAGAGACGTCCCAGATTCCCACTGCGCACGCTGGGGCCAGGCCTCCCAGCTCCGGCCGAGTGCATGACAGACGAAACACACGAAAGTTCGTCCACCCTCGTGCGCGCTGCACTGCCACGCGGAACTCTGGACAAAAACAAGTTGCCTGTAGCAAAGCAAACGAAGAGCTCGGGCCACCTACTGTAAATCAATTTTCGATCACGCAGCCATTCAACCTGTACTGATCGGGGCCTGCTGAGCCAGCTGTCGGGCGACATAAGCCCGGTCGACCTCTAGGGCGCCTCGGAAGAACGTCTTCGTGACCAACATCAGCGCCACTATTCCTACAGCTGCCCTGCTAGGCACGACAATAGAGATACCTACATGCTCACCTGCCAGGCCCTGATCCTTCTTTATGCAACGTCCAAACCCGATGGCAAGCTGCCCTCCCGCATTCAGTCACGGAGCCCTGCTGCGCGGTTGAAAGGCCTGCCGCAACCAGGCAACAAGACCCAAAACCGCCAAGGATGCATGCGGCTTTGGATACTCCGACACGACTCTTAACCTGTCGGCATAAGCAATCTCCACGGGCGGCAAGCTTCAGTTTCGCAGTTACACCAACTTGTCCAAGAAGACCTTTAGACTGTTTCCTCCGTGAATCTCAGGCAATCTGTCCGGGCTGTGTAGGCCTGTCTTCTCCAGCCCTTGGCGGTTGCCCTGTGCCTCGACTCGCAACCAGGTCAAGGACTGCAAATGACTTCTTGTGAACCGCTCGATGCAAAAACACATCAGCGTGACCCCATCGGCATATCGCACAAAGGAAGCCTACTTGCGTAACCTGCCTCTGCAGCGGGAGGCCTCAGCAGGACAACAGGTAGCAGCGGTCAGCAACTAACTGCTGACGGTGGTGGCCTTCTGTCAGCTTGAAATGCAACTGGGCTCAAACTCTCTCGTGTGCTTGCTGGTCAAGCGCCACGCTGCGCCGCTTCGAATTGCAGAGATTTAGGCAGCTTCGATCTACCTGGGCATGGGCAGACATGGGTCAGCCATTATGCCCAAGCAGCACGTCCGGCAATGACCTTTGCAGATTCTTGACCCTGTCTGGCACCTACCCCGGCCTCCAGCTATTCCACCCCTCGCGACGGAGGTGACTACACTGTCTGCTGACGTGATTCTGATGGTGCAATTGAAACGGCGATAATAAAGATCGTTTCTTCCGCATGCCAACGCACAATCGACCACGAAAACAACAAACGACGGCGAGTAATTGTAAACATCGTTGATTCTGCTTCTAAGGCGAGTACTTTGCTTGACAGAAGCTTCCTCCCTCTCTCTCCCTGTTGCTTCGTTCTGTAGCTGTCTGTCTCGGACATCTTTGCACTTTTTTGATATCTTCAGCCAGATCATACAGCCATGAGATAAAAAGCTTTCAGCTTCCGGAGACTGTCAGAGTAAAAAAGGCAAAAGTTTGCGACGGTTCGAGCTTGTTCGTGCTTTCAATATCCAGGAAGCTTCAACTGCCGAGATTAACGGTAAAGTCACCTTTGCAGAGCTCAAATGATAAAGTAATTTTCCGTGATGGTGGTTGTGTGACCACCTCCAGGCATAAACCTTGTCGGAGATGTGCTAATCACAACTTCACGGTGGCCCACGGTCCTGTGCATGGAACAGTCACTAGTTCCGCGAATTCGAACCCAAAAAGCTTCTCATTGTATACTATACATGTATGCATGTTATCTCATACGCCCTCGCAACCTGAAGCGCTCTTCCTTGATTTGATTGGCTTCTAGGACGGTGCCCACAGACAAGGTTGCAGTCGCATCTGGGCATAAAAAGCTGAGGACAGCACGCTTCTGAGCCTCTGGAATACGCACGAACCCCGAGCCTTCCACCAGCGTCCTCCTGATGCGGAGTGCCAAAAAAGAGTTGAAGGTCCCCAAATCTGTATCCGATCCCCTCCAGAACGGCTGCCAACGTCTCCTGCTGCTTCGTTTCTTGCTGCTGGGCTTTGTGGTGGCTGCCTGTCCGAGGAGCTTGATGAATTGGGGTCTGCTTAACATGGGCAACCCATCCGTGTGCAGCAAATCAACTCAACACTGCAACATTCCTCCACCGAAGTTGTGGCCATGAACGAAACTGTTGCTGTGCAGGCTGGTCCCCCGCAGCCCATCGCTCACACGAGGATGGCGTACCTCCGAATCTGCTGCCTGTTTGGCCTGGAGAGAAGACTCCGGCCTGGCCGAGATCCAGTACTCGATGTGCCGGTGGTGGCACAAGGATTGGCAGCTCTGCCTGCACATCTGCAACTGTTTCGTCTACAGCAGCATCTCACCACCCACATAAGGAATCACAGCCGCGGCTTCTTTCTGGAGCGGGCCGGTGCATCATGGTGCTTGCAGAACGCGTGCGTGCGCGCATGTCTCACATCGCGAAGTCTCGTCCACCACGAGTCTCTCTATCACACACTTGCCGTGATTGATCCCAAGCGTCAATCGAGACGACTCGGCCAGATGCAAACGAGAACCATATCCGAAAGCGAACCCTAGGCCCAGGCAGACCTCTTTGCCGCTGAGCAGGTCTCTAGCATCCTTAGAGGCCGTCCCCTACCAGCGCTCCGTGCTGCCCCACTGGTCCTGACGCCATGCTGTGCATAATGCTAGTGCTGATACGAGCACAGACAAAGCAGCAGGAAAGGAGGACAATAAGTTATTCTGGTGACGACAGTGGTCGTCGGGACACGGCTTGCACACCAGCTTACCATCAGAACGTCAAAATAGCCCGTCGTGCTGCTGAGCATGCACTGCCCAGATCCCGCCAACCCTGCTGCGCAAGCTGAGACCTCGGCTCGCCAGAGATTGACCTTGGCAGCAGTGTCTCTGATGTGAAATCCATCATAATCCATCCCATGTCCGTAGCCAGTATCTCATCATGTCTCCGCTGGCACCGCTTGCAGGCAGCTCTTAATAGAAGAAAAAGGCCCTCGCACTGTTGCAACCAGCTAATTAGACCGAAGCAAAATCGGACAGTCTTAGGCCTTCACCATGGAAGAAGTTTGCCTGCCGGATCGGCGCAGTATGCAACAGTCGGCAATCAGACATGTCATCTCCATTGAATGTCCAGCAATGCTGTGTAGATGTATGTGTGTGTGTGTTCATATATGCAGAATACATGGGTGCATGCATGTATCTGTATGTGCAAAACAGTACAGCCCAATTTGCCGCATGGCACGGAAGATCGTAGCGGCGTAGTGCCTCAGAACCCGCCATGAGTGCGTTTGCCGGCTACGGTCATGCAATGAATGATGGCATGCGTGATACGCACAGGCTGGGCATTCAGGTTTCGCCTTCACCTGGCGTAGTAGCGCTGATGGGCACGAAGGACACGCTGTGCAAGGTGGCCATGCTGAACATTGGTTTGGAGTACACGCTCGCATAATGCACGTTAGAGGAGTTCGCGGCTGGATTTCAAAAGAGCCGAAAAGAGGCTCGTCAGGCAAGGGCATCTGGATCATCAGCAACTGCCGCCGACGTGATGGCGTTCAAGGGCGCGAAGCACACGCTGTGCAAGGTGGCCATGTTGAACACTGGTTTGGAGGACACGCTCAGGAGTTTGCGGCTGGCTTCAAGACGGTGGCTTTCCAGCCGCGCGTCATCAAGCAAAGCATAGGCTCGTCAGGCCGAAGCACTTCGATCATTAAACTGAAAGCTGGCAACTGCTGCAAGTCCTGCAGAGCGTTGGATCTGATGCTAACCTAGCAGTTCCTGAGCAAGTGAGTGAATGATGCAAGAGCCATTTTTCTATGTCGCAGTTGCTTTGATGTCCCGATATCACCTCGATAAAACGAGATCTTGGTATGTTAAATGTGTAGGATGGCCTCATCCGATACCCACGTTCACGGTTTCCATTGGTAGCCGACTACGGAATACAAAGTATCTCTTGTTTGCCGAGCATTCTCATGCTGGTTGAAAAGGTCCTTTTGCTGAGTGCCTGTCTGGTTTCCAGATTTCGCAAGTCTCTGATGGTCTCAGAAGACTATGCACCCTCGTCTTCCGAGCATTCTGATGCAGTGTCCATGTGCCTTCATACTTGATTGTGTCGTTGGGGTGGGACAGTTTTTCTGACTGCCAGTTTTTGGTGAGCGCATACTTTGTCTAGAAATTTCTGACCCACCTCCCCGCGTCTAATTAATGATTCGACTGGCCTTTGTGCGATGAAAGTGAAAGTGATGCTAAACAGAGCGCGCGCGTGCTGGCCACACTTTGTGCTTGTGCAGTCAGCCAAACTGAGGGACCTTGATTGTCCGGGAGTTCTTGTGTTCCACCGGCCATAGGGAGCGAGTTAGGCTCAAGGCCACTTAGGCCCCCCTCTGTGCATGGGGTCTGTCTGTCTGTCTGTCTGTCCGTCCGTCCGTCCGTCCGTCTGTCTGTGTCTGTCTGTCTCTGCGCGTGTATGTGTGTGTGTGTTTTGTTTTGCCGCCGCTTTGTCCTTCACAAACATGTCAGACCAAAAATGTGCTTGCGCAAGCCCGCCACAGTCAGAATCTCGCAACGTTGCGACCTGTCCGACGTCTGTGGCAAGGCGGGCAGCGTGGGGACGGACTGTACCTCCCATGTCGGGCGAGAGCTTCTGAGAGAGGGCAAGAAAGCAAGCAGGTCGGTTGAATCTTCACTTGCCCACATCTTCCAGAATCTTCAAAGCTGGCTGCTTGCTACGCTGCTACTCTACACCGCATCCTGCGCAAGAGTCTGAAAGGCCTCACGCAAGCGCTGCACCAACGGTGGTTGGTTCTGTGGCTCCTGGGGTCCAGCATGAGAGAAGTCTCCATGACTCCCTGCGTGGAGTCTAGACATGCGAGCCGCGATCCCCGTCCTGATGTGGCTCCCAACTGTCTTGCACTAGCGAGTCGTCCCGCAAAGGGTCCGTCGGCCGCCATCGAGCTACCGACCGATCCTTCATGCGGCAAAAATCAGCGCCCGGTCCTAACACTTGCTCCGTGCACAGCTTCCAAAAAAAAGGCTGAGCGCTGTGCGAGCTTGTGGCGGGAGCGGATCGACCCCACCGTCGGCAGGTACGGGAGAAACTGCTTCGGTGCAGACATCCAACACCGCCGTCCCAGGTCAGCCTCGCAATCACCTTATCATCTGCATGCACCGGCAGATATTCGGTCTAAATTCGCCGAGGGTGCACCAGCTGCTTTGGCTGATGCTTGAGCACACATCCTCGAATAAGCATCGCCATGTCTGCAGGCAATCTGAGCGCATCCCCAGCTACAAGCACACTCTCTCGGCTTTGTTTTCAATCGCTAAACGATCTTCAGCTCATCCTCTGCACCCGGCGGAACGGGCATCGGACGCGAGTACAGTGCAACTCCAGAACCAACCAGGGCAGCGGAGGCTGCGCCGACGATGCCCAGCGGTGCTCCAAACAGGACGAAGCCCAGAAGCATCGTGAACACCACCTGCAATCAAGGTCAAGGAAGAGCCGGTAGGGCAGTTTAGTTCGACACGACGGCTCTTGACGCGGCCCTAAACCTCTAAGCCTGAATGCATCTTTCGTCTTCCCCTGCCTCTAAGGCAGACGCCACGGCTTTGAGCACGGAGTCCAAATGCTTCAGGAAGAACCCCGTAACCAGACCGACAGAGGACATGATCCCGATGATCAAGATCACCCTGCGGGCATGCTGACCCCTAACTAGGTTACTGCCATCCTGCAGGGTCCTGAAGCTCATTTCTCACAATCGCGCGAACAACCCAAGCAGCCAACCTTGGAGTAAGGACTGCAGCAACGTTGTCCGGAGAGATGGCTTCCGCCACCTGCAACTGACGGCTTCGCGCTCGGTGTCTCTGAGCCGCCACCCTGGAGACCTGGAGACTCCGGTGGCTGCTTTTAGCTGTCTCCGAACTGCCTTGCCCTCCCAGACCAGAAGGATGCCATTGACGAGGATCGATTGAAAGTACATAAAGGCATTCCTGAGATGCCACTATGTCACCATGAGGTCTGGTTCACCTGGCTTTATTCTCCAAGGCCTTGCGTACTGACCGTAGTACAAAAAACTGGGTATGATGTTCTCAAGAATGCTAGAGAGTATGAAGCTACCATCATGATCCACGATTCATAAACTATACTGCAGTCAAAGCAAGCCCGGTTAGGCTCACAGACTCACAGCCGAGTCTCTGAAGGTTCGTCGGGACGCTGCTTTTGGCACCGTCAGACCCCTTCAGTAAAACCTCGCACAAACAGTAACAAATGGCATCCACAACCTAAGTCATCAAGAGGTCACATGGTGCCTCGTTGTAGACTCCGGCAAGCACGGAGCACAGCATCTGCACGATCAGCAGAAGCCAGGAGCTCAAGTTCGCCTGACCGAGCGGACAACAGCTCTGTCCAGAGTCATCCGACAGCTTGAAGCGCCGTTCGTTGGTAAGGCATCCCGCATCCCTGCCTGGAGACCCAGTGCCTTGACTTTGCCTGACTCCTTGCACATGCAGCCGGCAGTGATGAGCAGAATGGCTTGCCACTGGTTCCGATTCAGCTGCCGCGAGAAGAGCAACTGGTAAAGCCTTTGGATCTCCTAGGTCCTAGCTTCTAGGTCCTAACCGTGCTAACCTTACGGTTTTCCAAACGAAGTCCTACCCAGGTCTGGTGTCCACGAAGCGGTGCTACCCCGACACTAAACCAGCATTCTCGAGGGTTCAGGCTGCCAGGTCTGTGCACTGTACAAAGGCATAAGCCGCACCATATCGCGGAAAGCGGCACGCCGGTGAGCGCAATCTTGAGCTGAAGCAAGACGTTGTATGTGCCAGGGTCAAAGGCGGCAAGGTTCACGTAAAGCAAGTTGTTGTAAAGAGCATACAGCCTCGTGAAAGCCCCTACAGCAGGAATACACTTTGCTATCAAAGCTAGCTCTGGAAACGCGCGACATCGCAGGGGAAAACAGATGCAAGATGTCTTTCTGCCGGGCGTGTTCTACGAAATTGCTAGCATCGAAATGTCAAGCTCAGCGTCAGAGCCGGTATGGCGTATTTCAGCAGAACGCGGTGTTGTTTGCAGGTCACACGGAACATCTCAGACAGGGGGCCATCGTAAGCCTCATCACCGTGACTGTGACTATGCTCAATGCAGCCTCGCCATTGCTATTGCAGTGCATCCCTCGTTGGGACTGGGCAGCCGACCACAAACATGGCAGCGGCCAGGATCAACTTCAAGGTCTCCGTCAGGATCACCACAGATGTCGCGTTGTAGGATGGGGCAGATGCAAGCTGGCTTGAGTAGACCAACAAGTGCGATGAGGTCCAAAGTGCAACATAAGTGGCAAAGATTCCTTGACTGATCGCATCAGGTCATATGAAGCACAATGACTCGGTCCAGTTTTACGCTTCAATATACCCAAGGTAAACCAAGTTCTGCTAGAAAGCAAGCGACCTTGCTTGAGGAAGGTATTCAGGCCGAGCATGGCAGCAAGCGCATAAAAGAAACTTTGACAGATGGACTCATGAAGTCGTCTCACCCACAGCACAACCTGCTGCAATGATCTGACCGTCACATCAAGACATCAAGAGACCACGACGTATCACCCTCTTACGTCCTCCGCGTACATGGGTGTGTGTGTGTGTGTCTCTGCGCGTATGTATAACCATGCCATTGCTCATTAGGCTGCAAGGAATACCAAAAGGGGCGAAGGTTGAACAACCAGCGAGTGGTCAACACAAAGCAAAGCACCATGTCCGCAAAGCCTGTGAGCAGCTGCATTGTGGCAATTGACTCATCAGAATCGCGACCGATGCGCTGCAATTACACTCGTTTTCGAAGACCTTCTACCGGCACGCCGCTGCAGGATCATCCATCGCTGTCAATAGATGGTGAGGACCCGGTAGGCCCCTTCTGCGGCGGTATGCGTGGTGTACTGGAGGGCTCCAGAAACCTGCGAAGCATGGGCCACAACCAATTGTCATCGTAAACGGCTACTACCCGCGAAACAAGCCAGCAGGATCGCCCTTGTCGTGAGGGTATCCGGAAACGCGTGTTTTGAGACATCGAGACATTGAGAAATCGAGGCTACGAACATTACATTCACGAGTTCGCAGACTGTGAGACCTATCCGCACTCGGCCTCTGCAAAGCGAAACATCTTAGTGTGAATCTAAGCGGTGAAGCCGATGCTGCCTCCTGCGTCTTCTCGCGTCCGCCCTGGCAAAGCATGGGCTGATTCGCTGCAAAGCGGTTTGAAAATACCGAAACAGAACGACGCTCTCTTCGCAGGCTAAGGGATACCTCGCATCCCCGCAGGCCTCTGAACGCACCGTCCAGGATCGACCCGACGGTTCACAGGCATCTGCGGGCAGGCTAAGGGAAACGACCGCGTCCTCGTGCGTGTGCCCTGCAGGGCCGAGCATGTGAAAAGCCGATTGGCAAACATGCTTACGGCGGCTGGGGCTTTGCCTCCTGCCCATCTGAGTGCCCCCGCCTGAGAGAACAGCTACCACGGGACCTGTTGGGGCAGCCTTCGCCTGCAGCAAGTCCCTGAAGTCAAGAGTGCTTTGCAAGTTGCCGGCCGGCCATCTTGGCCTGCCCTCCACTTGCCACAACTCAGATAGTTACAGGTGCACAGTTGCAATAACCAATGCTGTTAATTCATGACCATGCATGCCTGCACAAGGGCGGCCAAGCGACTGTGTCAGTCGCAGCACCCCATTGCGCATGACCACAAAGCTCTTTTGCCGCCAATGTCGCGCCAGGAAGCATTAACGGGATGTGCAACAAAATGACGATGGGAGTGTCTTTGCTCGCGCTTTCAACTTGTAGGCGGGTGAATTCCAGCTGGTCCGCGTCCACTTGGTAGTTGGAGTTGTCGATGAAAAGCAACAATAACCCCTTCACCATTGTGCAACCATACAGGATACCCGCACCGGGCCGACTCCAGTCGCCCAAAGACATATAGCATGACCCTCCGTTTGAAAGGCTCTGCTCGTAGAACGGCCTGAGAGACAACAAACGTGGACGTCCACTTATCTGAGGCGCTGCCTTCAGCATATGCTGGATCATACTGGTACTGTAGCTCCCCTGTGCCCTCTGCATGCCTATGGTGTAAGTCCAGCCTGAGAGTTGATGCCAGCTCCGGTATTCCTGGCAGGTGCCGAAAGGCGAACCATCCGGCAAGGCAGTGATCTGGCTGAATGCCACCCAAGTCTCGGGCAGCATCGTAACTAGAAGCTCCTTGCTGGCCCTCCAACAGCCAATCGTGATTTCCCGACGTGTAGATAAAGCTGGTGCCTGCCAGCCAAACCGAACAAAGTCAAGTTAACATGTGATCAACATCCATCAAATCCAAAGGCGAAGACATAACCTCGAAACTTCACTCGCCGCTGCGTGCCACAGCTCCAAAAAGAAGGATGGCATTAGATGGCATTGCATTGCGGCAAGAGCAAGCCTGCAGTCCGCAGCTGCTCGAGCACCCAAGTGACAGTTTGGTTGGACGGGAAGTTCACGATATCACCACCTGTCACAGGCCCCCGTGGCCAGAAGAACCTGCTTCTCAGACTCATGCTGCATGCTCACAAGGGCCTGGCCTAGCACGACAAGGTCCACTTGCAGGTCCTGAGCCAGGCCGACCAACCGCGAAAACCTGCAAGCAAGCGGAAGGCCACTGAACCATGCGGGAAAATGGTGGCAGAGAACGTTGGATAACCTGATGGTTGACACGGCCGTTGGTATCCTTCCTTATCCCTGACTTTCCCTGAATTCGGAACCAATACTTTCGCGCCAAACAAAGGTCAGGTAGGTTCCAAGCTCTTGCTGCGGGGTCGTCAGCGACTTGGTGTCACGGTTTCTGCTCCTGGAAGGGCAGGCATGCGGCTATAGACAGCACTTCAGCCGCACCGCCAGCGAGGCAACAAGAAATGCCAGCACTGCACCATGCGGTCCTTGCAAACGCGCTAAACATGCGTGTCGACCGTGGCGGCGCCTCTCCATGACAGTCTCGTCTTGTCATATCTGTCTACATACATACGTCTCGGTTTCACACTCCTGGCAAAAGTCTCCTTTACAAGCCCTCGGCGAACCTAACACATCAGTCTCTGCTGTTCAAGAACAGCCCATGAATCCATGAGTGCATGCTCCGGCCTCATTGCTCAAGGATATGTGGCTGTCGGTAATGTGCAGCAACCGTATAGATGCAAGATCGCGCGATTCAGCCTGCGCATGAAAACATCAAGCTCCACGGTGACATATTTATGCTGGCGCCTGCGCATCCTCTGCACTCGATGCATGGTCAAGGCAGAACACGGTCCAAAAAGCAACGACATAATTCCATTTCATACCGGACCCCCTTGAGCCAATGCCATGAAAACGTAGGATGTCTTTGGGAGCTCAACATGGCACTGGACCATGCAACATCCTGTTTCTGCCGATGGCGGGAGCACACGTGGAAGACGGGTCGCAGAAGTCAGCTAAGATACGGACAACCGCGAAAGCTCCCGCCATTCATAGCTAATTTGTCTCAGGAAACCTCGCACCAAAGCTTGACCAAGAGCTGGATCGGCCAGCAAGAGCTCTTCATACCTGCTCCGTTGCAGCACCAGAATGCTCGTGGACTCGGGCTCCTCACCATCCTCGCCCTGGGTTGCAGGTACCAAGGCGGTATGCTCATAGGGGAAGGTGTTCACAAAAGCCAGGAAGCCAATGAAATCCCCTGGGCCAGCGATGGCAACCAACCGATCCTTGCCGAGGTCACCTAAGACCTTTCTTTGCGGACTTGACGGTTTTGTCCTTTTCCTGCTCGGGTGTGCATAGGCGTGGAGCGTGCCCTCCACCACGCAGGCACACTTTGTGCACTCCTCGCCGGCATTCCACAACACAGTACCCGGCTCCAACACCTTCTTCTCGAAAAGGCCCATCGCTCTGTCGAGCGCCTTGTCCTGCAAGCCGTCCTTCGGCAAGAAGTCGCCGAAGTAGCGCATCAGCACTTCACGCATAAAGGCCTGCTCGGACCCAAGTGTTGGCTGGGATTTGCTTGGTAAACGCTGGCCTAGGCGAGACAGCACCCCATTCTCACAGCGCTGCAAAGCACTCTGGTAATGGGACTGGTAGAACAAGCCGTAAGGCACACTGCTGCCTGGGCCAGGCAACTCCTTTAGCTCCACTCGGGCCTGTTGCAAAACCTCCTGGACACTGCTTTGGAGCTCGGTGATCACCAAGCGCTTTTGGCTCTCCGCTGCCTTCCGGCCCAAAGTGGCCAGCTCCAGTGCCGCAGAATAATCCAATCCTTGGAGATTCTGGCAGTTCAGCAGTATCCATTCCGGGCCATGAGCCGAATCAGCCAGCAGTTCTCGCACAGCGTCCGTGAAAGCCGGGGTGGAAGCGAACATAAGGAAACCACTGATGTGCACAACCTCAATGAGATGCCCCAACTCCTCTAGGGCCGAGTGTTCGGTGAAGTCCCTCGTGCAGATCGCTCGGTAGAAGCGCGCATCCCCGGAAGTGCGGACCCCCACCTGGGAGCCGCTGTAGCGGACTGTGAAGAAACTCATGGCCAGGAGCGTTCCGACTAGAAGGGCGTTGTTGAATCCATAGAACTTCACAACCAAGGCCATCACGCCCACAATGAAGACATCTGATTTGTGCGTGTGCTTGGAGCAGATGTCGACGATGGTCTCCTTGACAAAGACCAAGCCCAGCCACATAAACAAACTTCCCGGCAGCACTCGCGGAAGTCGGTAGAGAAGTTTGGAAGCTACAAAGAGGCAAAGGATTGCACCCAAAGAAAGACAAGTCCCCACAAACTTGGACCTGCCACCCAATCGATAACATGTCACATTCAAGGAGCACAGAATGTAGCAAGGCCAACCACCTCCAAGAAGGGCACTCAGAAGGTTGCTGAAGCCGATGCTGCGAAGCTCCTTGTCCAAGCTAAACTCTCGCTCCGTCAGCAGCTCCACGGCCTTCAGGTCCATCAACCTGATCGAAACCCACTCACTGATCTCGGTGGCATGAAAACAAAGGTTGCCTACAGTATGTGCAGCATTGGACCGATGAAAGCCAAGCGAAATCAATGAGCTTTTTTGATTGTTCAGCATGTTTCACTCGGCTAAATTGCACAACGCACAGAAGAAGCCATGCATCCGCGCAGCATTAACAAGGATGCGGAAGCTGCGATGCCCAGCACGGTCGGCATCATCTCCAGGAGGACAGGCCAATGGATGTACTGCCAGCATGAGCTATATAAGTCCCACATTTGAGAGTACCAAGCTTCAGAGTCTGCAGCCGAACTCGCAGCTGAGCTCTGGAAAACCCATGTTTCCTGCTGCAATTCTGCGATCGTACGGATACCTAGCGCATCAAGAGCAGAAGGAGCAATGCCAATAGCCAGCAAACTGAGGGCAATCGCAACGGGTGAGTGTACGGCCTCATCCAACGCGAAGAGGAGCAATCCCAACAACACTGCAGGCATCCAGTGGCGCCAAGTCTCCACAAGGGGTATGGCGAGACCCGCAGAAACATGCAGACAGCTTGAAATCAAGAAGATCGCCACACCAAACAAGGCGCCTTTTAACACAATGAGAGGCACAGCGCGAAGATACTTGGCGAGGCCCAGGCGCGTTCCTAGCAACAAAAGCATCCCGATGCTGGCCGTGCACAGGAAGCAGCTTGCAACGCAGGTGGCCTGCACCTCTGGAGGACTCTTGTGTGTCATCTTCTTGGAAATTGTCAGGTGGACTGCATGAAGGATGGGTATCATCTCGAGCATTGGACAACAAATACCGTTTTGCATGTCCGAAAAGAATAGAGTGCCCAGCTGCGCACCCAACTGGCTCAACAACCACACGCTCGTGCCATTGGGAACCATCATAGGATATGAATGTCCAGCGGCCGTCGGGGCAGGTGCTTCAACTGCAGCAAACAAAAGGGTTCCGTAGCTCACGGCATTGATTGCACTCATGAGAAAAACAACACCCACAGCCGGTATCTCTTTCAGAATGCTGCCATCTTTTCCGGCACCTGAGCTGTGCGGGCCATCTGACGCATTGGGCTTTAGACCATCAAAGGACAAAGACTGGCCACGAAGAGCAGGCCAATTGCGGCTCAGCTCCTGGTGACGTGCAAGCAAAGAATCAACAGCATCACTTAGGCTCACAGACATGAATCGTGGCACAAGGCATGCACCCCAAGCCTGATGCTCTTCGGCAGGTTCCAGCAAAGGGTGATGCAGCATTCTGCTCTCCCGCCAAGCTAACTGTCTCGCAAAATACGAGCCAAATGCATGCTGGATCAACGGATGCGCAGCCGAAATCTGAAAGTGAAGCGGTACTGTAGCCTACAAATCTCTACGCAACCTTACTCGATGGTCAAAATAAACAAGCCTCGGGAATGGGAACTGACGCAAACCAAACGTGCTTTTTTTTTTTTTTCACGCGCCTTTT